CGACACGCTACAGACAGGAGTGGTGACTGAAATATGCCTTACAATTTTGGGTATGAAGAATTCTAACGGCTTTATGACAGTGTAGGTCTATTGTTCCAAAACGGTATACATTATTTTTAAACATTGAGTTGACACGTAATACTTAATTGTGCTGGAGAAGGTTCGCAAAAAACGAAGGACAAACTTGTAAATATATAATACATCTTATAAACGAGCCCTTCTATAGCATATATTTTTTGCCCAAGAAATTAATTTTGACAATACTTAATGGTTAATTTCATATTATTTTGATATAAAGCAAATAGGACAGATGAATATTTTTGGTAAACAGCAAACAGGCTAGTGGATTTTCTGAAGGGAGGCAACATGACAGTGGATGTTTCTGATGGAAGACAGTGGACTTTTTCAATGAAGGGGAAACAGGACCGTGGATGCCCCTGGTGGAAGGTAACATGTGGTTGTTTTAGACAGAAAGTAGACAAGAAAGCGGATATATTTTATGGAACATAACAGAGGAATGGGGGGGGGGGGGGTCCGAAAAACTTGGTTTTCATACACGTTTTAACTCGAGATAATGAACGCGATAAAGAACCTGAAGAGAAGAGGTTATCAACGCACTGGAAACAGATGGCGGCGATGGGAGCAATGAAGGTATGCTCTAATGATAATTAAGTCAAGGAAGAAAGTGTCAGAGCACGTGCGGTGTTAGGGAGCACGTGCTGCCTAAATCCAGCGAGCATATGCTCCCGTCCGCGGGTATTTACCTTGTCATCCAGCGGGCGGGTCTGTGAGGGCGTCTGATGCTTCAAACCCAATGGCGAAATGTTCACTTCAAACAGGGTGTAAAACGTTACAGATATAACACAGCCATTAAGTTAATAAGGTAAGTCAATATGTTTTTATGCACAAGAAAAAAAAATGGCGGAACTACGGAGTTATTGGGTACCAGGCGTGGCTTCTATCTATAGACCGTCATCAAGACTTTGGATATTGCAGGTGATTAGGTTACAATAGTGGTTCTAAATTTGTTGTAATCTTGACCCAGAACTACTGAGTTATTGAGTACCAGGCGTGGCTTCTATCTATAGACCGTCATCAAGGATATTGCAGGTGATTAGGTTACAATAGTGGTTCTAAATTTGTTGTAATCTTGACCCAGAACTGCGGTGTTATTGAGTACCAGGCGTGGCTTCTATCTATAGACCGTCATCAAGGATATTGCAGGTGATTAAGGTTACAATAGTGGTTCTAAATTTGTTGTAATCTTGACCCAGAACTGCGGTGTTATTGAGTACCAGGCGTGGCTTCTATCTATAGACCGTCATCAAGACTTTGGGTATTGCAGGTGGCATACGTTACAGTAGTGGTTCTAAACTTGTTAGAATATAGACCCATTTTTTATTTAATATAAGCCAGTGAGCCGCGAAAGAATATCAAAGGAATAAAATACTCCTTCGGCCCTCCACCTCACAAAACAACACAGGCTGTGTCATGATTTCATTATCATGTTCAGGCTAGTGCTTATGGAAAGATATGTACCAATGAATAAACTATGCCACGAATAGCAAAGTACATAACTATTTTTGTAAGAAGATCAAATATTTGACGAGGACAGATTTCTTCACGTCTACATGCCAGCAGGTCGGCCAGCGGCGCAGGAGAGCCGGCTAATCTGGCACGTGAGGCGATTCATGTTATCCTGTACTCACCATCACGCTAGACCGAGCATTGCTGCCATTTTCTACATTCTACAGAGGTCGCTCACACCACGCTGTCGGGGGTGAAAGTTTCCAGCGGTGCAATTAGCACTCCTCGATAAAACTTTACATCTTCGATCATATTAGATGCTAGACCATTTTCTACATTCTACACAGGTCGGTCTCACTTCGTTGTCGGGGTTGGGGGGGGGGAGGGAAAGTTTACAGCGGTGCAATTAGCAATAATCGATAAAACTGTCTAGAGGTGAACATTGCTAGAGGTGCTGCTAGCATAGCTCCATAAAACTAGATCTTCAAACATAGTGGCATGGTCATCTTCGAACAAAAAAAAGCGTCTTCTTGTCGTTTGTTTTTGTACGTCAAATGTATAGTGTGGATCAGTAAAATACACAAAGGTATATACCTGTACCCGACTCAATTCAGGTAACCATCGGCGGCGTAATTCAGGTAACCATCGGCGACTATATTCACGCACACGGCGCCGACTAAATTCAGGTATAGATGGGCTACTTATTTCAAGTACACAACGGCTACCTGATTCAGGTATCCAGCGTTCTTTTAATTCAGGTACCAACAGGCGACCTAGTCGGGTTTACATCGGCTACACAACTAACATCACCAGACAGGCCTTAGACTGGGATCCCCAAAGAAAGAGGAAAAAGGTAATTGGACTAACTAAACTTGGAAAAGACCATTTGTCAGCGAAGTATCAGCAGCTGGAATACCATACACCCAATTTGAAGAAAACGCCCAAAACCGAGAATGATGGAGAGATGGTGTTGCGTCTCTCTGTTCCACAAGGGGTCTAAGGCAAGGATGACGATGATTAATTCGGAAACGCTCATGGCAAAGTGGGGTCCCAATAGGGCTTGTAATGTAAGTCCACGGTCTCGAAATCTACTGGCTGGGAAGTACTAGAACGAGAAGTTGTGACCTACTAACAAGCCCTATAATGATATACGCCATTCAACTAGATGTCTTTCCTATTTTGTACGACTGACTTTTTAAACCTAACAAAGTTAGAGCAATAAAGACAGACAACAAGCGGGAGAGGTTATTGACTTTTGCGGTGTTTATTAAGCTTTAAAAAAAAACAACGGACACCCCCAAGTGGTTTACGCTCCTCGTTGAAAGCAACGAAACAAACGTTCCCAACTGACAGATGCTGATCATCTCTCAAACACGAGCATAACATACAACCATCGCCGCTGATGGCTTCAATGGGTCGGGTTAAAATATCTCGGGCGCTTGAGGCGGCGGGGCGACAGGTGAGAGCCTCAAGAGGGGGACGCTGGGTAAATAAGCTGACGGCACCTCCGCCGTTTTGGAGGGCGTACGGCTCGTGTAGCTGCGAGCGATACATCATCCAGAGTGCAGGGACACTTAAGGTTAATGGGCTAATGAAAACCGAAAGGGTCACGGGGATAATTGGCCACCGAAACACGTTTCATGGCAAGAACAACAACTCTAAAAAAAAAATTCTCCAAGCTGACGATTTTGCGGTTGTTGTTGATTTTTTTTTTGTTCAACATATTTTTGTTTCGATTGGCGTTGGTGATTAACTGAGGAATTTCTTGTAGCTTTTTTTTATGTGCCAGGTACGGTTTAAAGTACAAAAGTAATTTTAGCAAGAACAAATTGAGAGAAAAATTCACAATGCGGGTGAAAATGTTAAAATGGTTCATACTCTTTGTTGAAAAAAGTTTTAAGCTAATGCACACAGCATGGAAAGCTGAGATAGCCTTTTGCATGACTAACCTTACCCTAACTCAAAGATTTAAAAATCAAGTGAAAAATAAAACGGGAGAAAGATAATTAAAATTAATTTCAAAGTCAAAAGATGTTGAAAAATAATTAATGGCATTACCAAATTAAAACGAGCAAGTAGTGTCACAAAGATTACTAAAAGAGGCATGAAGCATGGTTATGTCCAGATTGGGTTTTGACTTTTATTAAAAACTTGTATTGAATACAAAAAACTGCCCAGAACTTTTTTCTCGTATAAAAAACTACAGAAAGCCCAAAAGTTGGCAGGAATAACTATATATTTTGATTACAGAGTGTGGGCAAATAGGAGGAGCAATGCTTGGAATTTGAGATTTTTACAACATTTTTAGCATGACTTAAAAAGAAAATAGAGTAAAGTAAAAACAACCTGATATAATTATTTTATCTATCTCTGTATATATCAAGATAACTAGCTAAAGCTGACAGTTTCAAAGTTTCAAAAGTCTATTAAAAAATGTAAAAAAAAAAGCTGAAATTTTTTTTTTACCAAGTGCAACTAATAAAAAGAGCATAAAAAAAGGTTTGTTTTTAAAGCAATATAAAACTTCAAGTCTAGATGGAAAAAATGTGAGAAATGTGAGTGCAAGAAATGAGCCACAACATCAAAGACATGCAAGATTTTTAAAAGTTCAACAACACTGTTTAATGTTTGAGAGTTGTTGGTGTTGTCAGATTCTCTAGTCCACTGTACAATTAGCTATTTATAGGGTGTCACCTTAGTTTTTATACTTCATTATTGTTTAAGATGACTTAAACATTTAAAAACTACATAGAATTATTTACCTTTAATTTGATCCCAATTTTAATTATAAAAATTAATTAGTAGTCTATGAAATGATTGTTTTGAAAAAAAACCACTGTTTTTAAAATGGCTCAACATTTATTGTTATAATCTAATCAGTATTGTTGTAGAATTTGCTCGATAAAACTAATCACAATATAAAGCTTTGAAATGACTGCTTAACTTTGTAATAATGAAAATGTGGATAGGTCTTTTCTGGTAGCCATCATTACCCTGGCAACAAAAAAGCGACAACCTACAATTTATGTTACGTATCCTCTGCCTGCAAGCTTATCCTATAAAAATTACATTGTCAAATATTTTGTTTTCTATGAGAATATTTTCTTCTCAATGTAATGTGGTGTATAACAGAAAGCAAAATATTTATGCAGCCTTGGAATAGCAATTTAAAATTACCATCTGACAACACCTTAAATCAAACCTTTTACGATAATAACACTAAGACACACATGCTATATCATGCATAAAATAAGCACATGACTGTCTTTTTAGTCATTGCTGGCTTATTATTTAGATGGCTTATTTTTATTTTACATTTTTATTTTCCCTGTTTTAAGCAGTTAATGTTAGAATTGTAGTTGGCCAGTAGGATGAGGAAAAAACTATGTTGAATTGAATAATGTAAGTCACTACAAAAAATGCAACAAGTCTACAGAATTCACTAGACAATGAGTGTTGAAAAATGCCCTTACCTAAGTTCACATTTGATCTGCACCCACCCAGGACTCCTCATAAAGGACCAGGGGTGGTACCACTTCTCTATCACATCCATACACGAGCACAGGGTCTCCAGCCACAGGTGTAGGACTTGTTCACTGAGGGAATACTGACATTTTAGTAGGAGAATACTGACATTTTAGTAGGAGAATACTGACATTTGAGTAGGAGAATACTGACATTTTAGTAGGAGAATACTGACATTTTAGTAGGAGAATACTGACATTTTAGTAGGAGCAACATGACGTTTTAGTAGGAGAATACTGACATTTTAGAAGGAGAATACTGACATTTTAGTAGGAGAATACTGACATTTTAGTAGGAGAACACTGACATTTTAGTAGGAGAACACTGACATTTTAGTAGGAGAACACTGACATTTTAGTAGGAGAATACTGACATTTTAGTAGAAGAATACTGACATTTTAGTAGGAGAATACTGACATTTTAGTAGGAGAATACTGACATTTTAGTAGGAGAATACTGACATTTTAGTAGAAGAATACTGACATTTTAGTAGGAGCAACCTGACATTTTAGTAGGAGCAACCTGACACTTTAGTAGGAGAATACTGACATTTTAGTAGAAGAATACTGACATTTTAGTAGGAGCAACCTGACACTTTAGTAGGAGCAACCTGACACTTTAGTAGGAGCAACCTGACAGGAGCAACCTGACACTTTAGTAGGAGCAACCTGACACTTTAGTAGGAGCAACCTGACACTTTAGTAGGAGCAACCTGACACTTTAGTAGGAGCAACCTGACACTTTAGTAGGAGCAACCTGACACTTTAGTAGGAGCAACCTGACACTTTAGTAGGAGCAACCTGACACTTTAGTAGGAGCAACCTGACATTTTAGTAGGAGCAAAACTAACATTTTACTAGCAGGAAAATCAACATTTTAGTAATATTTTTGAATAAGCAAAAAACTAAAATTTTAGTAGGAGCAAAAGTTTTTTTAAGAGCAAAAGTAACAATTTATACAGTTTAATCTCTATGTTTTATTATGAAGTCTATATTTTCAAATTGTTCATCGCATAACATAATGGTTAGGATAAATGCTGCTCCAATATATATCTTAGTAGCTGAGAAATAATATCAAAACCCCAAGTAAAGTAAATTTCCACAATAGATCTTTATCAGATTAAGCCAAAAACTTGCCATAAGAGGCACTTAGTGATTCCAAACATTTGATATTTCTCATCACAATTTGAAGAATGCATACGAATTTTGGAAGATAGTTATAATAGACAGTTAAATTTAATCATGTAATAGCAGGCTGCTTACTTGAGTCCACAGCAAATAAGTGAGCGGAATTTGACATCCATCTGTGCATGACAGGCATCATGACTTATGTTAACAGCCTGTACTGCCTGGAGTAGAAGATATAGATACTTTCATCAGTTACGGAAAGATAAACAATTTCATCAGTTATACGAGGATATAACAGTTCCATTCATCAGTTATACAAAGATATAACAGTTACTTTCATCAGTTATAGAAAGATAATTATTTTCATCAGTTCAAGAAAGAATTTAAATAGTTCAAATAGTTACACAAAGATTTAACAGGTATATCAATCTGTTATAAAAAGAAGGAAAGATTAACTTGTAATTATTACGGTACATAGGGTAAAAGAAGTAGAATGCACGCTTTTTTTTACATCAGCATATTAGGGATTATGTGGTCAGCACAATGTCCAGTTACCTTGATCTACACCACCCTGTTCTCAAAATATTATCTTAACTCAGGATTTATGTGAAAGCAATCTTAGGTTGTCTCCACACAACTACAACAACACCCACCCTGTATAAAACTTCCTCGGGTGTCAGGACTTTGCCATCTTCGTCCAACCGGTAGGTTTTGCACAGGACAAGTCTGGAATAGACACTCTGGAAATCTTTCTCCACCTCTCTAGTGGCAGCCTGAAATTATAGATAACATCTTGTAGAGTTAGCTAAACGTAATCATACTCAGTACATAGTATATTATTTGATATTACTAACATTTCTCATAAGAACAAGTGATAACAAAATCAAGCAGACATGTTCATCAGATTATCACATGTCAGATAATTACACTCAGTACAGAGTATATAATTTGAAATTACTAACATTTCTCATAAGCGACAACAAATTCAAGCAGACATGTTCATGGATTATCACTGATAAGAAAGATTTACCTCTTCTATGAAAAGCCAAGGATGGCAGTGACCACCTAAAATGGTTGACTTCTTTAGACCATGCTCAAATATAGCCTTCAGAGCAGGACATAACCTGAAAGATAAATGATGACGTTTAGGTTCATTCACAGAACAATCTATTACTTTTTTAGTCTTTATTTTAGGTTCATTGCCTTTTGTTTATTTAATTGTTACATCCCTTTGTATCCATTTATTCCAACTTCATTATTTCATCCCCTTAATACATTCATTTCCATTTTTTTCTAGTTACACTATCCCACTAACCCCTTGAGATTTACACCCCAGAAAAGAAAGCACCACTTACGTTCCTCTAACCAAATCAGTGATTGCCTCTGTGACTGAATCATCTCCTGCTGATGAGTAGTTCTTACTTCTCTCATCCAAGACCTCCACAAATTTGGCAGGAAACCATCCCCTTAACCCATTGAGTTCACCAATCCAACAATGCTCATCTTTCTGGGATATGATCTGTTTAAAAAAGGTATCTTTATCACTTGGATTGTCTAGAGTCAACACTTAACACAAATACATTACTTTCACAACAGTTACAATGAAAAGCAAAATGTATGTTTTATTTGTGGGTGCATGAATGGATTCTCTCAACTAGAAGATAAAGGAAATTTCAGATTTTGAAATATCTGTTCAGACTTAATATACTTTATTCTCTCAACTTTTACAAACAGAAATTGGAAATTTTATAATATAACGTGTACTATTAACCAAATAGTCCAAACTTTATTTGTTATTTAACTATATCTTACAGTAATTATATCATTCCTCCTAAATCCCAGTTCATCATCGTCATGACGCTCAAAGTCAAGTAAAGCTTTGGCTCTTCTGTGTCTATTTCTGGCAACATTTACATAGTTCTCCAGATCTTTAGCATGACTCTCCATGCTATAGTCAGCAGTCAGGATCTAATGAAAAACATACAAAATATTTATTTTTTACATCTTCTTTTTACTATATATGGTACAACTAAAATAAAAACATTAAATCTTTCTTGTAATACTGTAATAGATAAGACAATATCATGGGGTCTATTATGAGGTCTAATTAAAAATACCAGTCCGTCAAAAATTGTCAAGTACACACATTTGGAGGTTCACTTTGAAAAATTAATTATGAATAGTAAAATAATAGTTTAGGTTACATAAAAACTAGAAAGGGACAAAGAAAAAAAGAAAAAGCCCTTTTTTTTTGTAGACAAGACTTTTTTAAAGTTAATGTAAAGAAGAAAATATTTTTTAACAATTTCATTCCATTTAATATCCTTCCCACAGTTTTATTGACAGTAATTTTTATAACTTCTTAAATTGATAGTGTTTGATAGTGAATACAAATGTGATGCTCACCACTTTACAATTCTTGGGGTCCAGACTTTGAAAATGTCGAGCCACCTGAAGTATGGCCTCTCTCAGGTCTACTAGAAGCTCTGTCTGTCGTATATTTTTAGCTTTACCAAAATCATCTTCTTCAGTGTTACCTCCTCCCCATAAAACTGACATCAAAGATCGAGAGCGCCTTAAATGTCTTTTATTCAGTTGCTGGTAAAAAAAAAAGTTGCCATTAAATTCTTTAAGTTAGAAGCCAAAATCATGAAAAGAAATGCAGTTTAAAATGATTCTTATTTAGGTGTCATCTATAAATGACATCACACACCAGAGGGAACAGGGTTCAGACTTGTATCACAGTATTCTACATACATGGGAGTTTTTTTTTTTAATTTGCTTCATTTCTTTTAAAGGCAAAATAGGTGGACTATGTTAATTCTCATTAGAATAAAACCTAATACAAATCCAGAAATATTGAAGTCATGAAGGTTGTAAAATGTGCTGAAGTAAAAATAAAGAGGACACAGATTTTTATTAATCAATGCTTTATGAAAGTCCTTTGTAATAGGCAAGATAATTATAATGCTATTAGAAAGTCCTGTATGATAAGTAAGATAAGATTGATGAAATCTATTCTTTGGCCAAGCAAAATAATTAATGGTGAAAATGCTGGACTATCTCAGAAACAAAACCAATATTGCTTGCTTTTTTTTAAATCAGAATTTTTTTTCAGAAAGTTGGCATAGACTAGATAGGGAATTAACTGAATCCTTGCCCACTGATGAAGTTTAATACAAGCTATGTTTTACATATTTGGTTAGAAGATATTTTCCTTCACTTAAGTGCAAAGCAAGGAACTGAGTGGCTAAGAACAGTCACTGGCTAACTATAAATCACAAGCCTAGTCTCTGGACTCCAAGTCAGTGGGACTTGAGTCTGAGTATGGTGCTGACAGCATAATTTCATCAACCCTATGAACCATCCAGCATGAAAAAGTATTTTTACAATGTAACTGACAACTCACCTGCTTCGGCAAATTCCTGGACGACTCTGGGTTAACCAGGGCTCCCTGGTCAGCCATTAGGTAAGCCAAATGTTTCCTGCGATGTGTGTCTACATGAACATCAGTCAGAGACCCAGAGACTCGGAATGCTACCTGTAAATTGGTTTCAATATTCAACATACACTATTTGCAAGCAAAAGCACCTCAACACTTCATAATCATACAACTCAGATTCCTCTAGTTAAAAGACGGTTTTAGGGGTCTACTAGTTCACCAGAACAGCCGATAGAGAAAGATATTAAGGCCCGTAAATGGGGATGGATCGGACACACGTTAAGAAAAGAAAACATCGCAAAACATGCATTGGACTGGAATCCCCAGGGGAAAAGGAGGGTGGGCCGGCCAAGGAAAACATGGAAGAGGTTGAGGAGGAGGCAAAAACAGCTGGGCTCTCATGGGCACAGATTAGAGGAGCAGCCCAAAACCGAGTCCACTGGAGATGTGTGGTTGCAGCCCTTTGCTCCCCAGGGGCCACAAAGGAGTGAGGATGATGATGACTAGTTCACCAAAAAGGCATCACATTTTACAGGTTTATAATCACTTCCTCTGCATCTATCAATTGGTTTAAATATTAGTCAAAGAAAAGTTAGCAAATAAAAAAGCAATTCCAACACTTTTTGACTCTTCAGTTAAAATGCATCTATAGTACCAGAATGTACATCTGGAATGTAAATAGCTTACATCAATGAGCTCATCCACATCTTCAACATCCCCTGGAACATCTGATAGAGCATTGAATATCTGTGCAGAATTGTCGAAGCTCTCAAGTTCATGTTCCTAGATAAAGTGAAGTAAATACACAATCAGTATATCCTCATAAATACTGTTCTATTTAAATAAACAATATATTAGTTTAGAAAAAAAAAAAAAAAAAAAACATAAACAGAACTTACTTTGAGTTTTAACATCCCCATGGTAATCTGAAATATAACAACTGATCCCTCATAGTAGAACAGATCCCAGAGCCTTAGTAGAACTTTCATGTGAACAACACTTGCGAATAAGGTTAGGAACCAATGCAAGCTGATCAAGGAGAGCTCTGTAAAACAATCAGAAAAGCATAAAAATTGACATAATTTTAACATCCAATGAGAACTACTAAATAAAATGTATTTGCTATAGTGTTACAGCATTTATTGCACTTACCTATGTCATGCTCTTTTAAAACCAAATCAATGTCAGGTAAATAGCTAATGACCAGCTGACGCAGTACTCGTTGGTCAGCCTGAAATATAAAAAGATTTCTTTTTATGTTGAGTTCTGATTCAAACAGTAAGATTATGTCAGGTACAAGTTCTAAACTTTACCTAATTAACAACCACCAAGTTTGTTGAAATAATACAAAAAATAATAATGTTAGTAAAGTAAAAGTTCCCTTTTCAAACCTGACGGTCTATAGGGCAAGTGGTGAAGTAGAGTTCACTTGTTTCTGCGACCTCGGCATATGAAGAGATAGTGTGGTCAGCACTATGCCCAGCCACCTTTACTCTCCCTAACGCGAGTTAGGTACCCATCAGAGTTGGGTGGACTCAGGGAAGGTCTACTCAAAAAATAATATTACAAATTTTTTATTTGCTGGTTTTGTGAATACCGGGTCATAACCGTAGAAATATAATGTAACTTGTTATACTAGGACATCACAATTTTATATGCTTAAAAACAAACATGTATCTATGCTTGTTTAGCATTTTGAAAAATATATTTTTTTTATAGAAAATTGTAAAAAGGTGGAAATTCTGAAAATGTTTAACATGATTCAGAAATCACTTTAAATTTGAAAAAGTCACATTTGCATTACATAAAAATTACATAATATAAATAAATTGCAATAAATGTGATTGCAAGTTTAATATTAAATAGGGGTAAAAAGACAGCTTTGCAGTCAATGCAGTTTTGAAATGTTAGCAATTATTTTGGTTGTACCAGCAGATTCTGAATATCATAGTTTTGTAACTGCTTTAGATCACCACGTAAAAACATTTAAGTATTTTAAATTTTACCTGAATACCAATCAGTGTACTGGAGTAGTATGATGCTGGCAACAAATCCTCAATGATGGCACACATCATCCAGAATGTATCTTCTTCTTCCATAAAAAGTAGCAAAGATGCAGCAATCTACAAAATACAAGATGTTAAAAAAGCTTTTCAACCTTTGTTCTTTAGTTAGATAATTCTCTTGTGCATTGCTTAAACTATTATGTTTATACTTGGCTACAGGCCTTAAACTTACCACTCCAGTACCTTGACAGTACCCAATGTCTGGATATAGCCAAGCCAGGCCCCTTAAAATTCTGCGCAGTCTTGGAATGCCTGTGCTATTTATGTTACAAAAACATGCATTGCTAGGCATTGTTCTTAGTAGATCCTGCAAACAAGCAATAAATATAAATGTAAACAAAAGGAAATTTACTTGTCAATTTAAAAAAAAAAAAAATTTTCAATATAAATTATAGACAAATTTCAAAGTAAAACCATTTTTGGGTTCTGTTTGAGTAACAGTTTAAGATGAGTAGCATTTACATATGCTATTAAGTTTCATGGTAATAATTGTAATTTAAAAGCAAATCATTTCACCTTTTCAATTTGTTTTGAAGTCATCAGGTGATCACTGCTACTAGCCTTAACAACATCCTTATAGGACAGATCAGAATTATTCTTTTTTTCCAAAGCTCCAGACAGCCTTAGCCACATCTGACCCCGCAATGAATGTGGGATGCCTTGTCTGACCATACCCCGAAGTTTTTCCGACCTGGGCAAACGTGGCTCCACCTTAAAATTTAAGGACAGCATGAACATTTCTTTACATAATAGCTTTAAATACATAAACACATTCAGACATGATGAAAAATATAGATTCAATAATTTTCCCTATACTAATTTCCAAAATAGATTAAACACAAGCCCAAGAAAAAAAAACACCCAAATTATGAAATTTAATCAGGATGCATGAATAAATATCATAATTAACAAAACTGATTAAAGTTAAAATAATTCAAAACATACCTTATCCCAAGTAAGGTCACCCACTTCGTTATTATGTGTGAACTCTAAATAAGCTGTCCATTTCAGTCTGTGTTGGGCATCTTCAACAAATGGAGTACTCAAAAGTTTGCTTGAGTTTTCTTCAGGTCCATCTGGAATAAACAGAGATACAATAAAAAAGAAAATTTGTCTCAGCAGGGATAATAAAAAAAAGAAAACAATTAAAAAAAATATTTTGTGGTCTTAAACCAAGCCATACTTATCACCAGTGTTAAATGTAAAAAAAAATTGTTTAACTTCATGAGTCTGCTATTCTACATAAAAATGTACGGAAGTTTAAACTTATGTGTAAATATACCTTCTTCTTCAACTTTAAAACCAAACTCGTCATATCTGTAATCTAGCTGTCCATTTGGGTCTTCTGGCTAAAAAAAAAAAAAATATTACTTAAGAAATAAACCCCTAATAAGATGTTTGTAGTTAAGGTAGACAAAAAAAACCTTTCCGTTAGCTTTGATAAAAGAATACAAAATTCTAATCTAATATATTTAATCAAGTCACTACCTTTGAATATAGATCTTTCGCTCACTTTTAAATTTAAAGTCTATGAAAATAATAAATGTTATCTTTTAAGTTTTATGTTTACAGTAATTAAAGAAAAAAAAAATACTTACAGGGTGATTAATTTTAGCCATTATGTCTTGTGGCCACATGGAGGGTGTAAGTGCTGAGAATGGTCCGCCTGGAGTGGGTGTAAAGTCTGTGTGGCTGTTACTGGAGCTGGGGTTGACACTAATGCTGATGCCTTCCCCTGTGGCAGAGGCAATGATGTTTTCTTCCTCATCCTCTGACAATGTTTCCACTGTTAATTAAAATATAAACATCTATAATATAAGCGGGCTGAGCGTGTGTCAGTCCTTCCTTCCTTCTGTCATCGCTATAGCTTTTGGAGCCATAAAAGTAAACAACGCACCATAGTGTGCTTTTCAGTGCACCGCAGTGTCTTATTATAAGTAATAGAGTAGGGTTTGTTTATATAACGACATAGAGCTATTTTATAATTGCCACTGTGTTTACACTTTTGCATAACTTAAAGAAAATATTAAATACACGCGCATTGCTAAAACATATTAAAAGGATCAATGTCAAATATCATTTTCGTTTATATTCCTAGAAAAAGTGGATACATTTCCATAAAAGTAGGTCGAAAAAACTAATTAATTCAACTTTTTTTTGTGTGGTAATTTTTTCAAGGGAGGTAATTTGAAAATATATTTAACTCAACAATAATTTAAGTTAATCTTTTTTTTATTACTACCGCATTGATTAGTCTATGTTAAGGTTCATAATTAAAAGAGAAAAATGTTAAGATTATTTATATTATTTTCTAATTAGTCTATGATTTCTCAAAATCACTATTTTTTGTTTTTGTTTTTTGGTGTTAACAGATGGTGAAATTTTATAATTATAGTATAGAGAATGCTGGAAAGACTCTCTCTAGGCGCGGACGCCTGGGAAAAGCGTGTTTTTCGGTGGTAATTCTAATTACATTGCCAATGTGTTTTCTTAGAACCATAAAAGTAAACATCACTTGCCGTACATTCATTTGCATCGCATTGTTTTATTATAAGTTATGGAGTAGGATCTATTTATGTGACTTAAATTTTTAATGTTGGAAAGGCTCTCTTTGGGCGCGGACGCCTAAAAAAGCGTGTTGTTTGGTGGTGATTCTAATGTTGTCGTTGTGTTGTTTTTTTTTTTTTGGTTGTGTTGTGGTTGTGTTGTGGTTGTTTTTTGGTTGTGTTGTGGTTGTTTTTTGGTTGTGTTGTGGTTGATTTTTGGTTGTGTTGTGGTTGTGTTGTGGCTGTGTTGTGGTTGTGTTTTTGTTGTGGTTGTGTTGTGGTTGTGGTTGTGTTGTAGTTGTGGTTGTGGTTGTGTTGTGGTTGTGTTTTGTTTTGTTTTGTTTGTGGTTGTGGTTGTGTTGTGGTTGTGGTTGTGTTGTGGTTTTGTTGTGGTTGTGTTGTGGTTGTTTTTTGGTTGTGTTGTGGTTGTGTTGTGGTTGTGTTGTGGCTGTGTTGTGGTTGTGTTGAAGTTGTAGTTGTGTTGTGGTTGTGTTGTAGTTTTGTTGTGGTTGTGTTGTGGTTCTGTTGTGGTTCTGTTGTGTTGTGGTTGTGTTGTGGTTGTGTTGTGGTTGTGTTGTGGTTGTGTTGTGGTTGTGTTGTGGTTGTGTTGTGGTTGTGGTTGTGTTTTTTGTGTTTGTGTTGTTTTTGTTTGTTTTGTTCTGTTCCAAAGTTGGTACATTTAAAAAAGATTTACCGTGGCGGAGCACGGGATGCAGCTAGTAAATATATAATATGAAATTAAAATCATATCGAGTCAGCTTCAACAGGATAATTTGTTTTTTTTTTAAATAAAAGCATTAAAATTTAATCTGATTAGAAAGCATAATTCATACAGTTGAGTAAAAGACATAACAAAAAAAAATTAACTAAAATATACATGCTTTTTCTGTTCATCTGCATTTTTCTAAACTGCTAGTGTGCCTTTTAAGCTACCTTACTAAAAATAATAAACAATTAAGTTAGTTAACTTATTCAACATTACTGAACTGATTATTGATTTGTAACTTTTTCACAAGGTCCATTCAGCTGTGAGTAAAAAATAATCATTCTACTTTACAAATATTGATTTCAGCAAAATTGTATTGTAAGAAGACCAGCTTAGCATGACAGACCCTTACCCAGAGTCCCTAAGAAAAAAGACAATGTGTCAGGCCAAGAAAAATCTGGAGACATGGCTTGAAAAGTGACCAAAAAAAAATGGTTTACTCCTTTTTTAAAAATCCGGTATACATTTTAAAAAATCACTGGGTTTTTTAAAGCTAAAAGACGGAAAAAGACCAAAATCTAATTGTAGAGTTATAGGTCCGTTGGTTAAGCCACTAATATTAATTGTCTGCGTACACAACAGATAACAAAGGCACTAAAATTAAAGTTCCCTTTCAAACCTGACGATCTATGGGGCAAGTGAAATAGAGTTTACTTGTTTCTGTGACCTCGGCATATGAAAATTAAAGTGAGCCAATATGGATGACTAAGTTATTTATTAAATTGCTGCAAATTAAGGAAGGTGATGTATTTTTAGATATAAAATTACTATAAAAATAATTGTATTAATTAACTGTAACAAGTGAACAGTGTAATTCAGTGTATGACTATGTAATGCATTGTCCTTTGAGTATTCACTACTAAAATAGTATTGCTGACTAGTGAGAGTTAATTACTTAAATAGAATAATAATAAAGTAATTTACTAATTGAGGTCTGCTTTTGTTAGGTCTTAGATGTAGTAAATCATATTTTAGAAATAATAGGCTACTTGAAAAGAAAAATTGGAGCAAAAAAAAAACATTATGCAGCCTGTATTACATCATTCCTTGTTTATGTTTCTAGCTGACAAACTTTTGTCTACAATTAGTACAGCATGCATGAACTGTGATGTGACTTTTGATCCCCCCCCCCCCCATGCGCCAAACATTAACAACTATATACTGTTACTGTGAGTTCACACAAGTGACCGTAGTTAGTCTAGCCCTAACTGTCAGCATTTGCAAAGATTCCAACAATAGTTAAACGGCAGGGTTGGGTACAATACAGATAGATAAAACAAACTACCACTCACATATGTCAACTATAATTATTTTTTTCTATGACTGCCTGCCTGCAAACTCAGACAAACTTAATGAAAAATAGAGGGTAAAATTGATAGCCTAACATTTCTGAGGCCGGTCATTCTTTCATTAGGGCCTAAATGACAACTTAATTTAAAATATTCATAAAACTTTCACCCGGTCAGTCACACAATAAAATATCTTTTCCCTCCCCCTTACCTCTTCTCTCCCAATGACGAATTAACTATTAACTCAGCTAATGAGTCTATTCTGAAATCTAGCAAAAATGTCACAACACACATTACTCAGAGTAGACCTGCGCCACGCATGTGGGGAACATTTTTGCCTTTTTGTTAGTCGAAAAATATGGACTTCATAGACAAGATTTGTTTCTAAAACTAGATTCCAGACTTTTTAAAACTAGATCTAGAATCTAGATCTTAGATCTTTAGCAGACTCTTTAAACTTTAAAGTCTGAAATTCACTTTTCTAAATTTTAGACTTTTTCCAGACCCTGTACACTACACTAAGTCACTTGACTACACAGAACTGCACAACAATATTGACTAGATCTACTACTCTTCACTGCTGTAACACTCACTCACTACAGTTCACAGTACCGTCAGTACCTGAGTAACTGTTGTGTCAGTGAGTGTGGTTGGCATCACACACTGACGACTGCCTGACTTGGGTCTAATTAATAGAATCTGTGGTAGTGGATTGCCTATACCTAACAGTGCTAAAATCTAGTCAAGTGGTTACTGTAGTAAGTAGCAGATCTGGAAAAATGTAGATTCTAGAGTCTAGATCTAGATCTAGATCTGGACTACAGATCAGACAGTAAAACAAAAAACAATTGAATTGATTCGAAATGGAGTCTCCTCAGTCGACTATTTTAAAATTATTTTAATCATTTATTTTAGATGTGTAGGCGGCCTATAAATTAATCACATACCTTCTCTTGCCTTACTACTATAACCTTCGCTGGAATGGTCACCAAACATTGCTTTAGCGATTTCCATCGTAAATAAAATGTGGAATTACAACTGTTGCTATTAAAAAACTTCAAAACATTCTAAATCTACCATTTCCCAACATTGTTGCTAAATTATTATTTCCCGTTTACGCAGCAGACAATATTTCTGAAATAATAAGCCAAACCAAGATTTTTAAAAATGTGTAACTAATTCAAGATAACCAACAACGGTTTCATACATATTTTTGTATAAATTACTTGATAAAATACTAAAATTAATATTTTGAAACATAAATATGTTTTTTATAACTAAAACGCTGAATTTATACATTTTTGCAAAATAAATAATTGTTGGGAATTTTAAAATGGCAACGTGTCACATTTTTATAATATTAAAATTTCTACGCTTACGGATTACAAAATCTGATTGAGTTTTTAGATTCTAATTCTTAATTATAATTAAATTTGCAATGAATAGGTCTATTAGTTAGGGTCCTTGTATGGGCCTAGTTTGATAAATTATATGCATGTAGCCTATAGAATAAAAAACAAAAATGAATAACCGATATAGATCTAGATCTATTGTGCAAAATTGTACTGTATTAAAACAAAATTTTAATCGCATTGCAAAACTAGACTAAATCTAGAATCTAAATGTATTCAAAGATATTTAGATCTAATATAGATTTAGATTTGATTTACAAGGAAACAGAATTCTTGCAAGATAACAAAAATTAAATCCTTGAGGTCTATTTATATCTAGAATAATATTTGCGCCTAATTCTAACGGGGTGTATTTCATTAAAAGCAAGTAGGCAGATTAGCAAAAGCTTTTTGCCAAGAGGGCATAGAAGCATATTTCAAGACGTGCTTTTCTTTTTCATTCCTGCCATGACATGACGGACGCATAGCCTACTTTTTTCAATAATATTTAGAGTCTAGATCTAGTTTTAAATTTATAATGATAATCAACTCATCTAGGCCTACAGAAGAAACTTCTGCAAAAAGCAGAAGGGCACGTAACCTACACGTTTCAATATTATTAAGCCTTAAAATTTTAAAGTTATAATTTGCAAAAGCAGAGCACGCAGTTAGGATACTTCTAGATATCTTTGATTGTGAAAGTACGTTTTCTACTTTAATTTCTTTCCAACGTTGCTTAGAGTCCCATAAGCACAAAGTGCGACCAAATGCGCATTAGAAAGCTCTTTTAGCAAAACTCCGAAGAGTTTGAAAACTGACAAAGTATTTTACATGTTGGCCGGTCTATGCTCACACTGGCTGAGATGGCCTGGCCAATCTTCGATGTACGCTACGGTGCGATAGCGTTTTATTGATCTGGCTGAGATTTTATTGTGAGTAATATATAGTTCGCGCCGTGTTAATATAGCATTCTATTTGGAATGCAACAAGGACAAAAAGCTACCCACAGGTAATCAGACGATAAGGCTACTACATGGGAAAAAAAATACACACTGTATTTACAAAAATAGGAAATTTCTACTTACATTGCAGCACAGACAAAAAATCGTGGACAAATTAAAATAACAAGAAACAATAAAATCTAAAACTCAACCCCCGAACCACCATAGATATAATATATATAACATTTTTAAAGACCTATCACCCCCATAATAAATACTAACCCACCCCACCCACACAGAAGTACAAAATCCCGATAAAAAGTGTGTTTGACATTACCCCTCTGTCAATAGCCCCAATATTGTGGTGATTGTGTGCGTGCGTGTGTGTATATGAGTGTGTGTGTGAGTTTGTGTATGAGTGTGTATTGTAAATTGTAAGCTCTTATGGCATTTGCCAAGAGAGCCAGCAAATACACACATTGGCTGTGATTCGAACTTTGGCCGTAACACACACACACACACACACCCAGCCTCTCAAAACCTCACAGGGTGACACCAGCCAATAGGGTGACACCAAACAGTAAAATAAGTAACGTTACTTTTTTTTAAAATTCTGCTTTTTAAAAATGTGATGTAGTAAATGAATAAAATTATATAGATTAATATGCAAAAGAAACATCATTAATATATGCCTAAACTTTTATTACACACCACCAGTAGCGTAGGCAAAGGGATAGGGGGGTTATAATCCCATGGACTCACACCCCTATATATATATATATATATATATATATATATATATATATATATATATATATATATATATATGACTTTATACATATGGAAAAATATTTGTACCCCTCCCATGACCAATTCCCCGCTACGCCACAGCACACCACACACTCATACATACACAGACTCCCCCCCCCCCCGAATAGATGCCTAGAAGAAACTCTGCATCCCTTGCCCCTCGTCACGCGTCATCTCAAAATTACGACCCCCCCCCCCCCCAACCCTTTACTCCTACTGGAGTGCGACGTCTCTTATGAAAGACACCTACATAAGAAAAGTCATTTCGTGGAAATTTCGGAAATTTGGGTTCAGTCTATTCTCAATACGTTGTACTTGTAAAGTTGGGAATTTGAAAAAAATTTTTTTTTTTTTTTTTTAAATATCGGTTTGATACTCCAACAGTGACTATATGATCTGGACTTAGGATTGTGTCAACATACTATAAATATAAACAAAACTTCCACACACAGCCATATTTATCAACATAAATACATATACGCAAAACATAGCACACAACACGTTATGAAATACAACACGTTACCAGATTGCATAAGTCAATAGGCTTCCCACATAGAGTGGAGCATATGCACTTTCCTTCAAAAACGTATATGTATGTAATTATATAGGAAAGCGTGTTGTTCGGTGGTGATTCTAATGTTGTGGTTGTGTTGTGGTTGTGTTGTGGTTGTGTTGTGGTTGTGTTGTGGTTGTGTTGTGGTTGTGTTGTGTTGTGGTTGTGTTGTGGTTGTGTTGTGGTTGTGTTGTGGTTGTGTTGTGGTTGTGGTTGTGTTGTGGTTGTGATGTGGTTGTGTTATGGTTGTGTTGTGGTTGTGTTGTGTTGTGGCTGTGGCTGTGTTGTGACTGTGGTTGTGTTGTGTTTTGTTTGTGTTGTGTTTTTGTTTGTTTTTATGCTGGAAAGGCTCTATTTGGGCGCGGGCTCCTAGGAAAGCGTGTTGTTCGGTGGTGCTTTTAATGTTGTGGTTCTGTTGTGGTCGTGTTGTGGTTGTGTTGTGGTTAAGTTGTGGTTGTGTTGTGGTTGTGTTATGGTTGTGTTTTTGTTGTGTTTTTCTTTGTTTTGTTATGTTCCCAAGTTGGTACATTTTAAAAAGATTTACCGTGGCGGAGCACGGGTATGCAGCTAGTATATATATATATATATATATATATATATATATATATATATATATATATATATATATATATATATATATATATATATATATATATATATATATATATATATATATATATATAGGCCTATATAACGGAAAAATCCAAGCATCCCAGATTTTACAGTAAGGTAAAAAAAAAATCAATAGTATTATCTCTGCTGGGCTGAAATCAATATCGAAATATTTTCCGATTTACAGCCGTGTGTAACTTACAGTTTAAAACGTTGTTGTTGAACTTGTGCGGGTAGTAGTAGTAGAAGTCCCTGTAGGCCTCTTGCGGTGGATACGAGTGGCGCCGGGTGCGAAGTTTCACCAGGTACTTGTGGTCCTCCTTGGTGTGACGGGTGCAGTTGCTCAAAGACTCGCAGAGCGAACGCATCTGTAAACGTGTGGGAGATAAATTTTACCGAAAAAAAATTGGTTTTGTTCGTTATCCAGAGCGTGTATTCCTAGTAGCAAAAAAATGATTTTGTAATGCGTCAATCTGAATTCATTACAGCTGCACACTGCGTTATGGATGTCTCGTAATATGATTTCAGGGATTCCAAAAATGTAGATCAATATTTGTGTTTGAATATATATATATATATATATATATATATATATATATATATATATATATATATATATATATATATATATATATATATATATATATATATATATATATATATACCTTTAATACAAAGACATCCAAGTTTCGTATAGAAATGAACACAAGCAATGTTACTCAGCTTACAAGGTAGTATTCATAGATAATAAAAAGTTCGTAAGTGTATGTGATAAATAATTTCCCTTTGACATAGATATGTCTACCTATCGCGGGGGCACATATATTTTTTATTATTCTTGCCACAGCTGACGCATGGGTAGGGGGAGGGGGTGGGGAAATCAATCAATTTGAGTTAAGCAAAGGAAAAATATGCCTAGGTGTTTAGGTACACACTTGTGTGCTCCTTTGTTCAAAGGTATAGTTTATATCATGGGATGACGTCATGCGGTGTGATTTTCTGACAACGGGTGTTGTATAAAGATGGGTCCTATGATCGCTGAATAGAATGGAATATTTTGCCAGATAAAAGCAATGTGCGTCAGAATAAAATGGATACAAAGAAAGGTTTTATGATGGAGGATGGTAAACATGACGTCAACTTTGCACGAACAGTGTTTCTTCCAGACTTGTTTCTGGGGGGGGGGGGGGCTAAATTATCCGGGGGTGGGGGCGGACACTGATAAAAGTATATATCTTATATATAAATGAATTTCGTTCGGGGTGGAGGGGGGTGGGTAGCCCTGGAGATGCCTGGAAGAAACTCTATGCACGAAGCTTGCGAAGGGAACAAATATGTAAAGGGAGGTAAGGACAGTCAATTGGTTAAGGATTCTGATTTTTAATACTTCTCTGTATCCATGCTTTTGGGGGTCATCCATAAGTGAGTTCATCTTTTATTTTGACGATTTTACCGCCCCTCCACACACCGTCACACATCGTCGCAAAAGCCAGACCTCTCTTAAAATGACGTCACACCTCAGCCAACAGTTTACCACCCCCCCCCCCTCAAGATTGCAGTTTAATTTGTTTTAAAATATCGATTTTCTTTCTAAAATATTGACTTAGCTCGGTCAACATATTATTGTATGTTAATCAAATTCTATTATAATCTACAAAGTATAAAAAAAACTACAAAACACAAAACAAAAAACTATTTTCTAAAACACAAGGTAATGGTAAGATTTAGTTTTTAAGATTACTTTTTAAAAATATAAAAGTGTGACGTCACACTTTCTAAACCACCCCCTCTCATCACA